TTTGAAGGCGTAGGCTTTTACTGATTCAAGGTTCGATCCCCTGCATGTGAAAGCGCATCAACCACCATTACACCCTTTTCGCCCTGGGGGTGAACTAATGATGAAATCAATTTAAAAACCTGCGGCGAATGGAGTGTCAATCTTACTGAACAAGGCAGGCGTTTTTAATCATTGGTATTATAAATGACTGAATTAACTGCTTCCCAGATTGACGGCTAACTTCATTTGGCTACAAACTTCTGCATTCTCGTAATTACGACTCTGAAAGGTTGACAACGGTGAGAGGCCAGCTTACGGGGAAGCTAATACTAAAAATGCCTGGTGATCTTAAACACCCTGGTAGAAGTGAACGTATGATTCCGAATCAGTAGTGCTATCTGTATAAGGCAAGTTCTTCACCCAAAGGGTCTTTTCTTCCAAGTGGCCGCTGTTTTTCTCAGAGTTCTAAGATGAATGCTATTCATTAGAATGGGGAAATAAGCTCTAAAATGAAGTAGGTATTCCTGCATATGTGACATGGTGCCTCTAATCCCTTCTAAGACTCCGATAGAGCGCTGTATGTCTACGAAAGCCTTCTTGATTAAACCCTGTCTCTGTGCTGAGAAATGCTTTCCGGCAATGCTTCGCAATTAAATTAATGAACTAGAAATTTCGCAGAAAACTGATGAGCTGGCTGTTCAGACCAAATACCTACAAAAAAGAAGCCCCTCATTTTCTGCTGTCTAATTATGCGGGAAAACTAATTGCTTACTTGTGCCTCTCTTCGTAATTCTTCACATGCATCTCTATCTTGTGGGATACTGAATTCGTCGCCATCCCGTAGGTAATTCAAAATCTGAACACACACACAAATTTTTTGAATTTCAGCCCATTTTCTTGAAAGGAACTAATGGAACGAGCCGAACTTTGGAAAAATGTGTGGGATCTCTGTCGATGAATAGTTCGCCTTGACCTCGCCAACGTTCAGCCACCATTGTTGAGAGCACCTTGAAAAACAGAAAAGGTCTAGAATGGCTCTGGAAATCTCGAAATTTCCAGGATCTAACACCTACCGTATTTGGGACCTTCTTAAGTGTTGAAAGAGTCGTTTCAAAAATGGTTCCGCCAACGTTAAGTCGAATTCTGTCGCCTAAGGAAGAGGATGATGGTCCGTCCATCTGGAATACTCTTTGAATATAATGCAAGCATTTCCGAATATCACGTAACGGATGATCGGAGAGCGGGAATCGGAAATGCTTCTGGTAAAATTATCGGTGAAAAGGTCGGAGACACTTTTTCATGTAACTATCGATGGATTCGTTCGGGCAAGGTTAAAGTCAAGTCGAATTTGGTCCAAAGCAACGAAAGGAGAAGGTAAATGAGGTAGGTTGACAAAAGACGGGAAGTTTTTTTTCTTAACAGGTGTTGAGTCCTCGACTTCTGAATTGGGCAGACATTCTTGGTACATTCCCTAGCCGCACAAACTCTATTGAATTCCAAGTAAGTGCGATGGCAAAAGAAGTCACTTCAGTGCCTAGAATCGGCTATAGGAATAAAAAATCTGGTGCTTTCTCTTTGAATTCGAGAGCTGCCTGCCGAAAAGGACTTACTCCTGATCCATATGATTTCAACGTTTTCTAAAGACACAGAAAGTGTCAATAGTCGCTGTGAGGCAATTTGATTTATACAGGTATGAATAAACCTTGGATTACAAGGGCATTCAGATGAACTTTGGCCGTTACTCCGGAATTTCCCCCTCCTTGCACTATTGAGCTCCTTAAGACGAGAAACGCGTTTCACCCAATAGATTCCGATGAGCATTATAGGACTGTATCTGTACTGTAGAATCTTTTGATGGATTTTTACGGTAAATGATATAAAAATACCACAGTTCTTCAAGCGAAGCCAAACCCGAAGACGTTTACTGCCCTCTGCAGGAAAGAATGAGAATTTCCGGTAACTATTCAGGATGTCCGAGCATCATCTACATAACGGATAAATGGCGTGTGTTCCGCTGAGAATGTTCCGCCACAGAAAAGAGGTTTTACTGAGAAAGATGTGGAGACCTGTTTTGGCTCCGACATAGGAATGATAAAGTGAGCCTTCAAATGAGAAAACAGCAATTACGGATGTCTGACCTGCTCACTTGTACCTTTAAAGTTCAAGTCTCGCCTGAAATAAAAGCAGCTTTCTCAGGGGAACGTTCTCAGGCGTGAATTAGACCAATTAGTGTTCCCAGATTATGTACTACGAGTTATTCTGAGAAAATCTTCGGTGAGTGGTTGAAAGAAGTTGTTTCCGAGGAAGTCTCTTGAGAAGGAGGTTACATAGTATAAATGAATGACGAGGCAGTGTAATGGTTAACGGGACAGAAACCTCACATCCCCACTACTCTTTTGAGATTGTCATAGAGATGAACGGGATGTTGCCATGGCGCCACTGGTCCGTCACACTTAATAAGCCATAAATGAGAAAGCCAAGGCTGTTTTTGGACATTTGGGAATCCCTCGTTTTCATAGTTGGATTATCCATGATTAGTTATGAACTGCTGTTGCCATGGTGCTACTACCTTATGGCACTTTTGACATCCGGCGATATAGCGAAGCCCTAGGACTTAAGGATTAGCCGGCTGAGGGGAATATTTAACGCGTAACATTTCTATTTCTCGATATATTAAGAACTTCATAGAATTTACATGCGAAACCCGAACTTTGTGGAATATTTACTTATTTATTCACTTATTTAATTATTTATTTATTTATACGTCAATTAGACGTGCTGGCTAAACCAGTTCGCGACCTCAAGCCAATTTCTGACATAAATAGAAGAGAAAAGGAAAAAAAAAGGGCTGGACCAAGGAACTAGCATATCCAACGAATGAGCAGAGGATCTTGGGGTGAATGTGAGTCGGTGGAGAATGATAATCTAGGAACGAGAGGGTGTATTCCTGCCAGAGACAGCAATGGTAGGACATCGGGTAGTATGCATGTTGGTTGTTGTGGGAGAAAAAACTATACGTGGACGGCGGTCAATGTAAGCTCTTCCTTTTATGTTTTGGTCAACAGGACAATAATATGAATCTTGAATAGAAATATTAATATATTCAACATTTACATAATCAAATCTGAAGATATGAAAGTATAAACAGAGCAGCACGTGGGGTTACTAATCCAATCCCCTGTTACGCGAAAGTGCAAGGCTCTATGATGGCGATCCTGGAGAAAAAGAATGGAAGTAGAAATAAAGTTATCAAAATTTGATTAGTTCATGATCAAGGATCGCAGAGAGTGCACAGAGTACACTGGAGTTCAACAGAGATCGTACAGGATTCTGAGGAAGCCGGCCTGGGATTGTCAGCGCGAGCGAGACTAGGAGGCCTGGGAAATAGATTGCTGTCAATTTCGAAGAAAGGGTGGGACTATTCTGAATGGAAACGTGAGAAAAAGTACCCCATTCTTCTTTCGAATCTTTACGCCTATGGCCAAGCGTCATCGCTTTACGTCCCTCTCTTGGAATAAAAATGTTCATTCATTATCTAAACAAGCATGTTACACAAGCACCAGATGCTGGTAAATGAACGAGGCTAATTGGAATTGATCGCAAAGCCTGCCTAGTTTTTGCTTAGGATGCCCTAAGCAAAAACTCCTTTTTAGTTTTGAGGCTCCCATGGGATTTTTTTTCCCTTGGAACAGAGACTGAGGGATAGGTCTCAGTCTATGGAAATATTTTATTCTAAAATATGTGAATTTTTTAAAATTCCACGGAATCGATCAATTCAGTCCCTATACATACAGTACATTGATGAAAGGCTTTTGCAGTAG